CGTTTTACGTGTTATTTTATGGCTAACTTTAACAATTTATTTCTCACTCACCGAAAATCAGTTTTGAGAAAATAAATATACCACGAGTATCTACTTAGAACGTAGAATTTTTCTACAATATTTAATTCAAATCAAATTAAACATTTAGCCATAAAAATTCAGTCAAAACCGGGTCAAACCCAAGTTTTATAATTAATTTTTCCAACAAATTATATATTAGTTGGACAGATGATATATGATGAGTTTCAGAGTTTGTAAGAAAATTGATGTTGTATGGATTTGAAGGTTCCATTTTCTGTAAGTAAAAAACTTGTGAAATTCTCAAAATCATTTTTAAGGTGAAGAAGAAATTAATTGTAAGATGCATGTGTGGGAAAATGTAACGATTAAACAATTGAGTTTAAGTAACTCAAATATTATTGAATTTGCAAAATCTTTGATTTACTGAATGTCTGGACAAGCCAAACGAGTTATTTTCGTATAACTCTAATAGGTTTTGTTGGAGGCACCTAGGAGAAAATCAGGCATGATTTGGAGTCCATGTGAGCTCTTACGAGCCCTCAGTTCACGGGCGTGCAGCTAGCCGCAAAGACCTTCATGGCCGCAGAGCCAGCTCGAGGTCGTGAGCTGTCCTGGGAAGCAGGTCGCGGAGCTCGTCGCGGCCAGCGGAGGCTCTCTATCCCTAGTGACCATAAATGCATCCATTCTTGTTCGAGCACATTCCAAATCAGAGCCGGTCCTAGCATTTCTTAGGCCCTAGGCCAAATGTACAAAAAATGCCCCTCCTTTTTTGTTAAAAAAAAAATCCCCTCCTTTTCGCTTCATACGATGAAATTTATGATATTTCAACAATTACTTTGTTTGTCCCATACATTGAGTAACTTTAGATGAATTAATAAAAATAATTGCCCCTCATTCTTGTTTATTTCAATGCAACAAGCTAAGGTAAATAAATAAGTTATAAGAAATTTTATATGAACCTAAAACATAAGTATGAACACTATTATTTACAAAATTATGTAATTATGTGTAAGTTGAATATTACATTTATATACATCCTTATAATTTCGTGGAGAAAATTAACTCTCCTTTGTTTTAATGTAATTTTATTTAATAACAACTCATATTATTTTACAGTTTGTTACTTAATTAAATCATTTTTTATTCTATGAGTTGTAATTTTTTTTAGAATAAATAGTGATTATAATTTATAATACATAAACTATAAAGATACACAAAAAATAAAAAATAATCTAATAGGAATAGAAATAAAGATGGGTTGGTAGGTTCTCATCTATTTCAGAAAGTTTTGTTCATTTTAATTGTTTGGCATTTAATTTTTTTGTTGCAATTAATGTTTGTGGAAAACCTGCTTATATATTGATTTAAATGTCTTGGGATTTTTGGGAAAAAATGGATATGCAAAATGTAATTAGGCATATCATGTATTAGGCCGGACACAATCATCACAATATCAAATTCATTACTTATTATTATTATTTGTATAATTAATTGGGCAAACAAAGGCCCCAAGAATTGTGCCCCCTTCGAATTGGGCCCTGGCATGGGCCCTGGGCGACAGAGCCGGCCCTGTTCCAAATGTGCCTTTTGACATTTGCAATCCTCGATGATCAAAAGGTGTCTTCTGGCTTTCAAATGATTCATCTATAAATACTCACATACATGAATCATTCAATCTACTTGAAATTTAAGAGCTCTTGCCTTACATTTTTTAAAGTTAATATAGCATATATTTTTTTTTTCGATTCAGTCTTAAGAGTTCTAAATAATAGTATTGTTCGTCGAAAGTTTGTAGGTTACTATTATTTAAGTAGTGTTTTATAAAAGTAAAAAAACGTTGTATCTTGAATGTGTTTACCTTAACCGTGAGTATTTTACGGGACAAATTTGTCTTAAGGAGGACGTAACTTTTACATATTTGGACTTTGAATTTTTTGTTTTTATGTTTTCGTCATACACAAATAACAATTAAACTTAAATTGAACAACGAAATTTATGTGGACTTTGAATATTATTCTGATCTAGTTAAATTAATGGGCTGAGATATATTTCTATCTTGCTGGACCAGTCCATATCAATTGACAATTAATTGAGCCGATAGCCCAATAATGATTAACCAAAAATGTTGAATCAAATAATAGTTAAATGATAGCACATCCACATAAATAAATCTATAGGCACAAACAGATATGCAGAAAAGGAAATATTTTCCCAACTGCCAATAAAAATTAACTATTACATCCTGATTTGGGAATTTCCAAGTTTTACCTTAATATTGAAAATTTTCAAACATGATAGAAGCTTTCCTTATCATTCTTGAGATTCAAAATTTTCTAGCTGTTGGCAAATCTCTACAAATAGGCCAAGATTCATGATAAAATCTATTGTTGGATGCTTGTTGCTGACTATTAGATTCATAGCTAGATTTCTTACTTTGATAAAAAAAAAATGAATTCGAGCCGTTGCGCGGCATGCAAGCACTTGAGGAGGCGGTGCCCTTCGGACTGCATTTTCTCTCCTTACTTCCCTTCCAACAATCCTACACGATTCGCCTTCGTTCACAAGATTTACGGGGCGAGCAATGTCGCCAAGCTACTCCAGGTAACCGAACTTGTCCGATTTAGAGTCGTTTCAAATGTTGATATTACTTTGAAGTTTAGTGTCGTGATCGAGGTTGATTATACAGGATCTCCCACCAAATCGACGGGCCGAAGCAGCTGAGTCGTTGTGGTATGAGGCTCGTTTGAGAATAAAAGACCCGGTTTATGGGTGTGTTGGGGTTATTAGTGTTTTGCAACAGCAGATTCAGGATTTAGAATGTCAACTCACCATGATTCAAGCTCAAATTGCTGCTCTAGTTGCTCAGTCCCAAAGTAATGAGACTCATCATTATATGTATCAAATGCAAGGTGTTGACTATGAGCATGTTGAAAATGTTGGATCCAACCTGTTAGACTGGTTGGATTAGATACAATTTTTCTTCTGCAAAATGTAGTTCAGTTTATTTGATTTAAAGAAAGCCCTAAGGAGATTCAGTTGAACCCAATTGTAATTTGAGATTTAACAAGGAACACATATAATTGCTCTCCCAATGGTGGGGATAAATTTAATTTTCAAAATGCACAAATTTTGCTCCTTTTCCCTTGTAATCAACTTCTTTATTGATCTCTTGAAATCTATTTTTAATCCCATACTATTTCCATATTAGTATCTTGCAAATTGAAAAAGGTCTCAACTTTCAACAATTTGTATCATGAAAGATCAAGATAACCTGACATTTTTTTTGCTTTCAAGGCAAATTTTGACACCATTTGAAATATATGAAAACTCAAAAGGCACTAAAGCACCATTTATACATTAATATGCATAAAATTGAAATGAAAAAAAAAAAGAAAAAAAACTCAAACTTTTTCCATAGATTATTAGCCAATGTACATAACCTTTTAAACCATTCTATCTTTAGCACAAAGACCAAAAGAAAAAAACAACCTTAGCCAACATTGAATAAAACGAAGTAATCTCACTCATTCATATGAAATGCAATAATAAATATAAACAAATTCACCAAATTCAAAAATCACACAACCTTCGATCCATCTTCCCCACCAAAACCTTTCGCTTCCGACGATTTCTTATCGCCACTGGCCCTCCGGTCAACCACCCCGCCCGAATACTTATTCCGGTGGTTTTCAGACAGGAAGTCCATTTTTCCGGCAGCTATATCCGACCTCAAATCACTAAGAGCCTTGCTCAACAGCCCATTCTCAGCCTGAATTGCCTCCAGCTGCTTCTTCACATCCAAACACGCCTCTGCCAGCTCGTCGTGCCTCTCCCCGGGCCCCACTTTCCCCTCCTTCGAGCTGGACCTCACCACATGCTCGATCCCGATCTTGTTCATCACCAGCAGCGGCAGCCTAACCCCGCCCGCACGGTCGCTTCCCCTTCTCCCGACGACCACTGCATCCATCTCATCCTCCGATGCCTCCTGTGGCGGAACCCTAAGCCCCCACCGGAAATTCACCATCGCCAGGTCACGAAGAGGCATTCGCGTCCTGGCTCCGAGCTCCACGCCCTTCACCAGCCTGCTCACCACCGCCTTCGACTCCGCCGGTGAAAATCCCGCACCCTTGAAGTACCCGTTGTTCACGAAACCCTCCTCGCAGAGACTCGTGGCGAGGTCGGAGGAGTGCGATTTTTTCAGCGAGAAATCGCCGAAGTTGGGCTTGAAGTGGATGAGGAAGCTAGGGTTTTGGGCGCCAATCAGGTTGAACTCGGCGCTCATCGTCAGGGGGCTGTTTGCCGGCGACCCGAAGTGCCCGACACCGGTCTTGAACACGAAGCTGAATGGGTTCTTCGAGTCGTTCGGACGGTAGGAGAATCGGAGGGAAGGACCGGAATCCATGGAGGTGCTGAGGTTCAAAGCGAGCTCTTTGGATTCGCCGGCAACGACGCCCGCCTGAAGAGGGAGATTCGCGACATTCAACGGTACTTTGGCTCTCAGCAGCGGCTTCTGCTCGTCGCGGAACTTTATGGAGGCCTTCATGATCGATTGGATTGTTGATTTCTGTTTGTTTGATTTGTGAATTAGGGTTGCGTGAGTGAGTGTGATTATATAGTGTGAGGAGCGTGGGCGGAAAATTGGGGGGTTTGTAGATTTGGGGCTGATTTGTGGCAATTCAAGATTTGGGGTATTTGAGGAGTGCAATTACCCTTTTGCACTTGGAAGTTTTTGTGAGATTTGTTAAACCAAATGCTTCTAAGTCGGTTCGACTCAACTCGGCACATTTACATTAGCTTAGTAAATGCTTAAGGCTCGTTATGCTTGCTAAATAAGTATTTTTTTTATTAAATTTTTTAAAATTTTGACTCGTTATAGTTGTTAACGAGCGACCTTAACGAGCTGAACTCGAGCTAAGTTATCAGCTCATTAATTTAACGCTCAACTTGATAAAGGTTCGAATACAATCTCGAGGACTAGGGGCACAAGCTCGATCAGAAGCTTAATTTCATTTACATCCCTATAGATGATGATATAACCATTTTTTTTAGATAAATTGTTGAGGGGTGAGGTTGGAATTTGGTAAGTGGATGAGTCTGAATTATATAATGTAGGGTCTGTGGCAGTACAACCAAGTTTTTTTTTTTTCTTTCAAATTTTCAAAATTTTTGGACTTATTGAGTATTTGAATCTGGCAAACAATTTGTCAAACTTTTGCTAGTCAGTACAAAACTTACTGGTAATATTTAAATGCGACCTGATTCAAAATTCAAATGTGACCTGATTCAAATTTTGTTGGCAATCAATATCTATCATGTTACTAGTATTATTTGTACATATCAAGCATCTGAAATATTTCTCCCATTGTTGAGTCCTATAATATAACATGAGATGATAAGATCCATAATGAATCTATAGAAAAGAAGTAAATTGCTCCAGTCAATCAGCCTACTAACTTCTCAACAATAAAGCACAGGTTCCAGTAACAATAAATTATCCTTGCAGAACAAGAGGAAAAAGAAAAAGAAAATAGAAATCCCGATTAAAATGCGACACCGACCCGATCCATCTCTGATAATACATCAAAATTCATTTTCCACAAAATACAATCCCAAATTTATTCAATGGAGAAAAGATTGCTCTAAGTTCTTTCCCATAACACGCTACTGTTAAGCTCTTAACTTTTCTGGGCTTTCGGTATATCGAGGTCCCCAAAGACCGGGCTGTCGACACCAACTCCCATTGCATTAAGCCCATTATCGACATAAACAACTGCACCAGTGATGGCCGATGCTAGTGGTGATGCTAGAAAAGCAGCAGCATTTCCAACCTCATCTGATTTTGTTCAGTTTTTATAAGCTTAGTGTTTGAAAAACAATGCATTGATAAAAGCGTAAAATCAAGTTTTTCACCACTTCAAATAATGCAAGCTAAATAGAAGGTTATTTGAAGAGAAACATGCACAATTTCTAGCCAAGTTACGAAATATGCTTAGCTATCTTTCAACAACAATTTAGGTGACTTTAAGTAATTTTAAGAGGGAATTGTTCTCTGGGTATTTATTCCAAACCTCAGGGATAGCTTTTATAGTTAAGTCATTTCAATATATATATATATATATATAATATTTTAATTTTTATTTAACAAATGGGGAAGATGGCTCACCAGCTGTTAGTTCCTTCTGCAGAGGTGCATTCTCCAATGAGTAGTCGATCATCATGTCGATAAATCCAATAGCTTTTGCAGCTCGGCTTCTTAAGGGGCCTGGATTACAATTATTTAAAAAGTTACAATTATAAAATGTAGTGTTCTGGACTTATAAATAGTATTGAACTATTTCTCATGTATACGAAAATTTAAAGTTGCTGAAATATGCAAAATATAATTTTAAATATGGTAGAAGGTGGTGGGGTTCAATTAGATATTTAAAATTTCAAAACCTTGTGTTTTTTTGTTCAGTAGATAGTGGTGGCTGGTGGGCCCCACGTAATGTTGATGACTGATCAATCGAGCGATGGATCGGTGATTGAAAAGTGAAAATAAAAATGAGGATTTCAGGTGGAAAAACTGATAAGGAAACATGATTGTGATTCTACATATTAGTTGGAAAAATAAACGGTGGTTTTAAACATGAACAAACATGGCCCGAGATTCGACCACTTCAACTATTGTTCTTACACATAGGGTATCAACAAGTAATTTTTTTCGAAATACCTGCGGATATGGTGTTGACTCTAATGTTATGTTTTCTTCCAGCTTCAAAAGCAAGCACCTAAACCATAGATAGGTCGTCTTAAGACATCATGGCAATGTAAGAATGGGCAAACCGAAATAAAAATAAATAAAATAAAGACAAACCCTTGTGTCACTCTCTAAAGCAGATTTAGCTGAACTCATTCCACCACCATATCTGGAAAACAAAAAAAGGTAATCCCAATGTGGTCAACTTTTTTTAAAAGAAAGAAAGAAAATTTGAGTCATCTTTCAATAGCCACCGACCCCCAATTAGGTGCAGTTAGTTAAAAAGTAAACAAATGTCAATAGGTTTGTATTATATTTTTAAAGGCTAATCTAAGGAATTTTCGTAGTTAGGATAAAAATCAAGGGAAAATGTACCCGGGTATTATTTTCTCGGAGGCGATGTATGTCAGAGAAATTGTCGCACCGCCTGTAAAGAAGAGAAAAATTACCAAAATTATGATCAGTTGTTGACGAACTGACTATTTTTTAGTTTTAAGTTCTCATTGCCTAATAGTGGGAAATATGAATTACAAGTACCAGGATTCATGATGGGAAGAAAATGTTTGAGGAGAGAAACAAAGGAATAGCTTGATGCGGAGATTGCTGCAAGATAACCATTTCTAGACGTCTCCAGCAGAGGCTTAATGACCTGCAATTTTACGAGAAAAAAAAATCATAAGTTAAATGATAAAAAAGAAAAAAAAGAAGAAGAACTTAAGACAAAAGGAACACCTCTGGACCATTGGCTAGCGAATGAACAAGAATGTCGATCGTGCCAAAATCCTGTTTTACTGATTCAGCAACTTCCTGCAAGAGAGAGGTTTCAGCATGTGAACAGATTGACAAAAGTATCTACATTTAGAGACAGTATAAATAATGTTGAATCTGTTTTCATTTCCTATTTTTTATTTTCGTTTTGATTTTTTCACTTTTTCGACAAGCAATGGTACGCTTTGAAGTGGTAATGACACATGAAAGTCCTGTATGCTGTATGTATGTAAGAGAAGACAAAAGGAATAAGAAAAAGTTTAGAAGCCAAAAAACCTTCACAGTCCATTTTGAAGATCCTGCATAGCGTTTATTTGTTTTGACCTGCGTCACCGTATAATTTAATATGTAAACACACGTAAAAATATTACAATCAAGAGTTGGGATATCATCAAAGAGCTCATTCTTACATCTTCAGGAACATCCTCGGGAGAGTCATAAACAGCATCCAATGGGTAGACTTTCGTAATTTCCATTAGAGAACCATCTGGCAGCCTAACAGTACAAATTCCGTAAAATAGTGAATCTACAAACATAGCAAAACAGATAAAGTAAGTAAGAAGTTAAAACAAAAGTGTCAAAACTCTTACACCCGTGATTCATCGAACTTTCCACGCCGTAAGCTGGTCTCAAAGATATTCAGTGCCTAGAGATTAGATTGCCGTTAGCACCGGAGAAAAAAAAGAATGAAAAAGAAAAAGGAAACTCTGAGAGTGCAGTACATACAGGAACCCAAGTACCAACGAGAATTTCGGCACCTGCAGCTGCTAGAGATTTTGCAATGGCCCATCCGTACCCATTATCATCAGCTATACCGGCAATAAATGCCCTTTTTCCTGAATATATGCAATTTACATTGGTAATTTGTGGAAACGTGTTTTGAGATTATCAGAAAGAGAAAACTGAGAGAAGAGCACAAATGAACAGAATGTTCTACAAAAAAGCTCGCTTTTTTTTTAGGGAAATGCTTTCTAGACCAGCTTGTATAGAAGCTTAAAGACAATTTTACAAAATTTAGGAGATCCATGAATCAACATAATTTTATTAGTTCAAAATAAGATCTTATTTTATTACTTGCCTTTAAAAGCTTCACTATCAAAATTTTGGGGTCAAGAACAAAACATTAAAGAGTCAAGCATGATCTCAATTCATGAGACATACACATACAACTGTAAATAATTCAACACAGAGACACACGCATTATTAAAGTGAAAAAATCAATGCCAAACAAGGAAAAAATGACTAACCTCTCAGATCAACAGGCAGCCCTGGCAAAGGCTGTTTATCGCTAGCTCCCGACATTGCTTTTACACGACACTTTTCATGTTTCGACTGATTTCTTTCATGGAATTTCGAGAACGATTGTGTTTCAGGTAGGAAAGACGAGCTTCTAAGCTTTGTCCATGGCGTGCCTTTAGTTTCATTACCGAAATTAACAATGCTTGATTTGGGCAGTGCACAAGATACACGAACAAGAGGCTTTGGAGGCAGAATTTGAGTGCCCGGAGTTGCATATGCAGCCATGTTCCTTTAATATAGATAACAATGCTGTTGGACAATATACAGAGAAGGTGAATACAACATTCAAATACGTTGTAGAAGTTACAGTGAAGCGAAACCAGACATACAAAAAACATAAAAACCAGTTCTTTTTACCCAGTAATGATGGAATTTTTATTATTAATTAGGAGTAACACTTAAAAGTTCTCCTAAGGTGTCCGCTGTTATACTTAATGCTCAAGCTCATGGGGTTCATAAACAGACATCTGGCTTGCACAATGTAGGTCTTGTTGTCAAATCGAAGATCAACTAACTTTCAGTAGATGTGTCAAATAGTGAACACGAACATAAAACCAAACAAATCCAGTTTCGGCAAATCGTGTAGCAAGGAATTTACTAATGTTGACTGCATTTATATAGCATCCAAATTTCTTC